GATTGCCAACAAGGGTTTTGCCACCAAGTACTAAGTCATGTTTTGCAGAGGGGTCAAATACTTATTTCCCTCATTAAAATGCAAATCAATTTATAACATTTTTGACATACGTTTTTCTGGATTTTTTGTTGTTATTCTGTCTCTCACTGTTCAAATAAACCTACCATTAAAATTATAGACTGATCATTTCTTTGTCAGTGGGCAAACGTACAAAATCAGCAGGGGATCAAATACTTTTTTCCCTCACTGTGGGTGCCAGGCGCACCGGTTTGAGTGTGTCAAGAACTGCAACGATGCTGGGTTTTCACACTCAACAGTTTCCCATGTGCATCAAGTATGGTCCACCACCCAAAGGATATCCAGCCAACTTGACACAACTGTGGGAAGCATTGGAGTCAACATGGGCCAGCAGCCCTGTGGAATGTGTTCGACATCTCGAAGAGTCCATGCCGCAAATAATTGAGGCTGTTCTGAGGCCAAAAGGGGGTGCCACTCAATGTTAGGAAGGTGTTCCTACACTCAGTGTATACTTTCATAAATGTTTTAACTGGTACCAGGCTACCTTAAGACGAGTCTTGTGAGGCTTGGGGGCATCCTAGAGCAAAACAACTGACATCTACGTGTTCGTGAGAGTCTCACCTTTCCCTAGAGGAGCCAAACCGTTCGGATGCTACAGACATTTTTGTGAGAAAACCGATTTTCGGGATGTCTCCTGGTCTGACAAACACGGCTGTAGCTCGGCCACCTTCCACCACAGATGCGGAAGGCCGACATTGGCGGATGCGGTGGATTGAGACGCAAACCATGCAAAAAACAGATATCTCTAGCTTACACAGATGGATTTTTATGGGGATTTGTTTATTATGCTAATTAGATGTCCGCGGGGGAGCAGACATCGACTCTACGCTAATTTCCTGCAATTTTACACATTTTGCTATGACTTATGCCATGTTAATGATATCTGAGTGAACGTGACTAACACAATCAATAGGGCCCCCGGTTTGTATTCGGCCATGATTACTACAAGTTTAGATAACTGGCTACACTAACTTACCAATCCATTTTTTTTTTTTTGCTGACATGACTATTTGAGTAACTGGTAGTGACTGGCAAAACAAGAGAAACTGCTGTTGCACAACCAAATGTTGAACTTGTACCTTGTGTATTCTACTATTCTAACTCTCAACAATAAGTTGAGACCCCGACTGAGTGTCTACTTTACTTGACTGACTTCATCAGGAAAGAGATTGATGAGGGAAATCTTTGTAGAATGGTATTGCTTGACCTACAGAAGGCCTTTGATACAGTTAACCACTGTCTCCTAATCTCCAAACTGGAGGCACTGGGGTTAAGCAGTATCCCTCTAGGCTAGGTAAAGTCCTATTTGTCAGGTAGAGAGCAAGTGGTAGAGGTTAATCGTTCACTGTCTCAGGCAAAACCAGTAAGTTGTGACGTTCCGCAGGGGAGCGTGCTTGTGCCTCTACTGTTTTTACTGTATATAAACGATATGAAAGATGCTTGTTCTTGCCATCTTTTCCTTTATGCGGATGACTCTACACTTCTGGTGTCTAATAAAAGTAAAATTATGTTGGAGAGCATACTTAGCACAGAGCTTACTAACATTAGCAAATGGCTTGGAGATAATAAGCTATCTCTGTACTTAGGTAAAACTGAGGCAATTATTTTTGGGTCCAGACCTAAATTGTGTAGGTCCTCTGAAATCAGAGTGAAGTTAGGGGGTGAGGTGCTGACTACTAAAACCTCTGTTAGCTACCTGGGATGCATCCTTGATGGAAGCTTGGGGCGTGTGAGCATGGCCACAAAAGTGCTAGGGAAGGTTCATGCCAGGACTAAGTTTTTGGCTAGAAAGTACAAGCTGCTTGATAAGGACTCCATGAGAGTGCTAGCCACTGCCCTCCTTCAATGTCATTTTGACTAAGCTAGTACTTCCTGGTTTGGGGGCTTATCTAAGCTTCTGAAGGGGAAGCTCCAGATAGCCCAGAATAAGCTGATCAGGGTACTATTGAAGGTGAGTCCATGTACTCACATAGGCAGGAGCTGCTTTCAGGAACTCAACTGGCTGCCTGTTGAGGATAGGGTGTCCCAGGTTAGACTGGGTCAGGTTTACAGGAGTATTTATGGTTCTGTGCCCAGATATCTGACTGGTTACTTTCCCCATGTTAGGGATGCACACAACCACAGCACCAGATCAGGTGTTCTTCTTCTTAGTTTTTATGTTTTATTATCTCGTTGTCATACTGTGTTCAACCGTGTTGGATCTTGCCTATCCATCTTGTCTCAAGAGGACCACAATGGAAATAAGTCCCAGATTTTATCGTGTGTTATCCTCAATGCTTTTGCTCATGTGCATGTATGGCATTTTCAAGTTTTATGTGTGCTTCTTTTTTTAAATGGTTGAATTAATAAACTAAACTAAACAGTCTATGTGTGTATGTGTTTGTGACTTTCAGGGCAGGCTAAGCAGTTTTATTAAGGGGAGACATCCCTTTGATATGAGGATTAGATTCTGCCTCATCCTCATCCTACCCTTTCCTTTCCTCCCATTCCTCCTCTCGCTTGTAAACGTGACAGATGACAGTTGAGCACTGGATTATTGGAGAGCAAATCAGCACATTCTGCAGACTAGATTCCTTCCTTTCACCCTCTATTAGTGTGCACAACATTTACGGCATCTACTGTTGTCTTCATATTCAGTACGTGTGTGTGTGTGTGTTCATTTGAGTCATCATTAGTTTGGCTAGCAGTCATTTCCAGTGTGTGAGAACAACTCTGTTCATGGATTTAGTTCAAGCTCACCAGACGAAGCAGTCATAAACAAAGTCCTGTTGTGGAGTTTGTGGTTGGAGATACACTGCACGCCTACACATTTGATTTGAGAAGGTGTTGCTCGATGTTACCGACCAATTACACAACAAACAGTCCCTCAAAAAGCCCCTCCACCTCCACCGCGCCTCTCCTCTCTTCCACTCAACCCACCTGCCACCTCTGTGAATGCAGAGAAAGCAATAGAAACAGAAAAAATAAGGAGAGTGAGGCCAGCCACACGGCACCCCCTGTCTTCTCCTTCCCTCCCTCCCCTAACCCCTCTCCTTACCACATCAGGATACACTTGTTTTGGTGGGATCCGGTTTCAAACGGAACCCTGCCTTGCTCTGGTGTGCTGCAGGCCCGGTATTATTAGCAGACACATCCCGTCCCCTCTCAGTGGGCTGGAGTTCCGGGAGGGTCGCCCCTAACGGACTCTTAACCTTCCACCACCTTACTAACCCCCCCACCCCACCGCCGACACACACACATTCCCTCCCTCCCCCAAACTCACTCACCTCACCTTACATCGGGCCCGGAGTGCATTGCATCCCTTCATAGTCATCTTTACACAGTAAAGGAAAAAGTTAGAGACTGCTGCTTCTCACTGAGCTGTCTATCTCCTCTTTTCCTTGCAATCCCTCTTCTGCCCCTGTAGCTGAGCGACACGCCTTTATGTCTCAGCATAGGAAGTTAAGGGCCTGAGACCTAGCCCAGCAGCCCAGAGACTCTGAGTCACACATGTCACCACTCTCTCTTACTATCCCCTCACTCTATGTGCCCCTAATGACCCTTAGGCCAGGATCTGGCGCTCCAAGTGTTGAGATGAGGTATTACATGACTCAGATCAGCAGAAGCTTAGCTCAAGTCTAAACTCTAGTCCTACAGTAGTGGATGTGGGAATGCCAACCTCAGCTATTATCATATAATTTTCATATGGCAATTCAGTATTCATACATATTACATACTTTCAACAATTCCTAAAGATCACATTAGGACCCACTGTGTGTTGTGGTTGAACTGCACTCTACCATACAGATTATTTGGAGGGTCACAAGAGTGAAGGGGACTCACAGCACTAAAAGATTTGGAAACTCCTGTCCCCATATACTCTTCATATCTCTGTCCAATAGCTATAGGATGGTAGCATACTAAGCTGATTCTCCACTGTAGGATATATGATACAGCCAGAGAACCATAGAGGATAGAGTTCTCATGATGTCAAAACCCAGTGCGGTGGGAACGGCCTCTTATTCCCATAGAGAGGAACTGATTACGTCCCCTGTCCCCCACCGCTCTGCTATGCCACAATGTGCTTCTTATACACACTGGGGTTTTGTGTATGCACTGTATGTTCCCATACTGTTTATTTTCCTACGAAACACAATTTCTATTGTCTGGTGACGGAGACATCGCGTACACATTGTGATTCTACACGTAGCTGCCCGGTGCCTCTGTGTGTTAGTTTGTGAACCTTTTAGGCTTTTGCCTAGTTTGTTCCCAGATTTACTTTTTAGCACAGGTCAGAAATATATTGTTTTTCCAGAACCGTCTCTCAACCCCCAAGCAACGCTGCCATCTGGTGTTGAGATCTGCTCTAGGGGAGTTAGTGTGTTCAGACCTGCTGAGCATGTCAGGATACAGCCCCAATGGAAGGCTGGATATACAGTCATGCTCCAAATCCAGGCCCACACTTTTATTGGGCCTGTTTAGGTCAGGATGAGTTTCATTGTGTTGGATCTCTATGTATAACAGTCTTTCTATTTTACGCTATTTCATGTTTTGGACTTTGCACAACTAAACAAGCCAACTGATTGTAGACTTCTATCATGTGTTCCCAAAGGGATTTATCTCATACGAGAAAAGCAGAAAAAGAGTTACACTGAGTCCATCTTGGTCATATAATGCTCTTAAACATCACCAGTAGTGCTTTGAGGTTGCCATGGTAATGTTGGCACAGAACCAGAGGAGAGGGGGTTATGAGAGCACCTGTCTGCTGACTCTCAGGGTCACTGTAGCCCAATGTCTATCTAGAGCTAGTGCCGAAGTGAGGTGAGGCAGGTTGTTGTTTTTAACACTGTGTACTCTGTGCTCCAGGGCTGTTGAAATGGAACGGGTCACGTGTGCCACTTCCCCCAGGGGCACATGGCGGTTCTCAGGGGGGATGTTGCTGGCTAACCGCTGCCCAGGCTGGGCTTCCGGCCCTTGGGCAGCTCAGCCTGCTGGGGCCCCTCTCGCCCTCCAGCAATCCCACTATCACCCCACTCCAGACACCGTGCCAGGATACTGTGGTGACACAGCCCTGGGCCCTCGGTTCCTCCAATGTCAAAAAGACTGATGGGAGGATAGGGGCAGAGAGATGCTTACAGGTATGAGTAGTTACTGAGTGACAGTGTTTTTAATCATCAATGTAATGATCTTAAATTCTTATGTAGTGATACAGTATTCCATAGCCATGTGTTCTGGCATAGTTTCACCATGTTCAACTTGACGCCCGTAGCTCAGTTCAGCTCTGTGAGCCTAAAAAATTATTGCAGGCCCACAAAACATAGCCCTTGAAAAATACTGTAACTCCATCATACTACATCTACCTTGACATCATATACTGTTGATTGTATCAGTGACAGTGAACTTGCCTTAGGCTTTGATCCTAACTGAAGATGTTCAGATCTGAGTTTGTCAGCACTAATACTGTACCTCAATAATGAGGTTTTTAAGCTAATTTCCTACAATTCTAAGTATTTTGACATGGTAAATGCTGTATTCTTATTCTCAAACATTATAACAAAATCAATGGGGGTCTGATTGTCTAGCTTTTATTTTGTTGATTGTAAGTTCTCAAAGATTATAGGCTATTTGTCACGCCCTGGCTCTAGGGACTCTTTTATGTTGAGCCAGGGTGTGTAGTGTCTATGTGTTGTGTTCTATGTTCACGATTCTAGTTTATGTGTTTCTATGTTGGCCGGGGTGGTTCTCAATCAGAGGCAACGTGAATCAGCTGTTGCTTGTTGTCTCTGATTGGGAACCATACTTAGGCAGCCTTTGTGCACTTGTCTTTTGTGGGATCTTGTTCCGTGTTGGTTTGTGTTATTGACCGAGGACTTCACGTATCATTTATTGTTTTTGTTCGTGGTGTACTTAATAAAAAGAGATGTACGCATATCACGCTGCGCCTTCGTCCACTCCTTTTGACGATCGTGACAGAAGATCCCACCCCCAAAGGCGCGGACTGCGACCGCGCCAACATAAACCCAACAGGGGAGGGGCCGGGTGGGCATTCCTCCTCGGAGGCGGATCCGGCTCCGGGCGTGACCACCACCCTCTAACAACCCCCCCGTAGCGCCCCTGGTCTGGTCCCGCTGGCTGGAGCTGGACTGGACATCGGTGGAGCGGATTGCTTAGGCTCCGGTGTGGAGCAGCTGACCGGTACCTGACCAGGCACCGGTGAAACAGCTTGGCTTGGTGCGAGGGGCAGGAACAGGCCGGGCCGGGCTGGCGACGCGCACCATTGGCTTGGTGCGAGGGGCAGGAACAGGCCGGGCCGGGCTGGCGACGCGCATCACAGGCTTGGTGCGATGCGCGTCGCCAGCCCGGCCCGGCCTGTTCCTGCCCCTCGCACCAAGCCAATGGTGCGCGTCGCCAGCCCGGCCCGGCCTGTTCCTGCCCCTCGCACCAAGCCAATGGTGTGCGTCGCCAGCCCGGCCCGGCCTGTTCCTGCCCCCCGCACCAAGCCAATGGTGCGCGTCGCCAGCCCGGCCCGGCCTGTTCCTGCCCCTCGCACCAAGCCAATGGTGCGCGTCGCCAACCCGGCCCGGCCTGTTCCTGCCCCTCGCACCAAGCAAATGGTGCGCGTCGCCAGCCCGGCCCGGCCTGTTCCTGCTCCCCGCACCAAGCCTATGGTGCGCGTCACCAGCCCGGCCCGGCCTGTTCCTGCTCCCCGCACCAAGCCAATGGTGCGCTTCGTCAGCCCGGTCCAGCCCGTCCCTGCTCCCCGCACCAAGCCAATGGTGCGCGTCGCCAGCCCGGCCCGGCCTGTTCCTGCTCCCCGCACCAAGCCAGTGGTGCGCTTCGTCAGCCCGGTCCGGCCCATTCCTGCTCCCCGCACCAAGCCTGTGGTGCGCGTCGTCAGCCCGGTCCGGCCCGTTCCTGCTCCCCGCACCAAGCCTGTGGTGCGCGTCGTCAGTCCGGCACAGCCCGTGCCCGTTTCACCGGTGCCTGGTCAGGTACCGGTCAGCTGCTCCACACCGGAGCCTAAGCAATCCGCTCCACCGATGTCCAGTCCAGCTCCAGCCAGCGGGGCCAGACCAGACTTGGGGGGTTGTTAGAGGGTGGTGGTCACGCCCGGAGCCGGATCCGCCTCCGAGGAGGAATGTCCACCCGGCCGCTCCCCTGTTGGGTTTATGTTGGCGCGGTCGCAGTCCGCGCCTTTGGGGGTAGGGTACTGTCACGCCCTGGCTCTAGGGACTCTTTTATGTTGAGCCAGGGTGTGTAGTGTCTATGTGTTGTGTTCTATGTTCACGATTCTAGTTTATGTGTTTCTATGTTGGCCGGGGTGGTTCTCAATCAGAGGCAACGTGAATCAGCTGTTGCTTGTTGTCTCTGATTGGGAACCATACTTAGGCTGCCTTTGTGCACTTGTCTTTTGTGGGATCTTGTTCCGTGTTGGTTTGTGTTATTGACCGAGGACTTCACGTATCGTTTATTGTTTTTGTTCATAGTGTACTTAATAAAAAGAGATGTACGCATATCACGCTGCGCCTTGGTCCACTCCTTTTGACGATCGTGACACTATTATTGAAAAAGATATACACTACCAGTCAAAAGTTTGGACACACCTACTCATTCCAGGGTTTTTCTTTATTTTTACTATTTTTTACATTGTAGAATAATAGTGAAGACATCAAAACTATGAAATAACACATATGGAATCATGTAGTAACCAAAGAAGTGTTAAACAAATCAAAAAATTTATATTTGAGATTCTTCAAATAGCCACCCTTTGCTTTGATGACAGCTTTGCACACTCTTGGCATTCTCTCAACCAGCTTCATGAGGTAGTCACCTGGAATGCATTTCAATTAACAGGTGTGCCTTCCTAAAAGTTAATTTGTGGAATTTCTTTCCTTCTTAATGCGTTTGAGCCAATCCGTTGTGTTGTGACAAGGTAGGGGGCTATACAGAAGATAGCCCTATTTGGTAAAAGACCAAGTCCATATTATGGCAAGAACAGCTCAAATAAGCAAAGAGAAACGACAGTCCATCATTACTTTAAGACATGAAGGTCAGTCATTACGGAACATTTCAATAACTTTTAAAGTTTCTTCAAGTGCAGTCGCAAAAACCATCAAGTGCTATGATGAAACTGTCTCTCATGAGGACCACCACAGGAATGGAAGACCCAGAGCTACCTCTGATGCAGAGGATAAGTTCATTAGAGTTACCAGCCTCAGAAATTGCAGCCCAAGTAAATGCTTCACAGAGTTCAAGTAACAGGCACATCTCAACATCAACTGTTCAGAGGAGACTGTGTGAATCAGGCCTTCATGGTCGAATTGCTGCAAAGAAACCACTACTAAAGGACACCAATAAGAAGAAGAGACTTGCTTGGGCCGAGAAACACGAGCAATGGACATTAGACTGGTCCAAATTGGAGATTTTTGGTTCCAACCGCTGTGTCTTTGTAAGACGCGGTGTGGGTGAACTGATGATCTCTGCATGTGTATTTCCCACTGTAAAGCATGGAGGAGGAGGTGTTATGGTGTGGGGATGCTTTGCTGTTGACACTGTCTGTGATTTATTTAGAATTCAAGGCACACTTAACCAGCATGGCTACCACAGCATTCTGCAGCGATACGCCATCCCATCTGGTTTGGGCTTAGTGGGACTATCATTTGTTTTTCAACAGGACAATGACCCAACACACCTCCAGGCTGTGTAAGGGCTATTTGACCAAGAAGGAGAGTGATGGAGTGCTGCATCAGATGACCTGGCCTCCACAATCCCCTGACCTCAACCCAATTGAGATGGACCACAGAGTGAAGGAAAAGCAGCCAACAAGTGCTCAGCATATGTGGGAACTCCTTCAATACTGTTGGAAAAGCATTCCAGGTGAAGCTGGTTGAGAGAATGCCAAGAGTGTGCAAAGCTGTCATCAAGGCAAAGGGTGGCTATTTGAAGAATATAAAATATAAAATCTATTTTGATTTGTTTAACACGTTTTTGGTTACTACATGATTCCAGGTGTGTTATTTCATAGCTTTGATGTCTTCACCATTATTCTACAATGTAGAAAATAGTCAAAATAAAGAAAAACCCTGGAATGAGTAGGTGTGTCCAGACTTTTGACTGGTAGTGTAGGTCCTTTATCTTTTCTACATAATTTGTATTTGGTTTAGTGATTTAAGTTTACACTAAAAGCATTTTTCCATCCTGAAAATGTATAAAAAATAAATACAAATAAATGCAGTGCACAAAAAATGTCATCCTGCAACCCACCTAGACCGCTGCTACGACCCACAACTTGGGACCACAAACATAAAGGACAATATGCCTGGTTTGGTTTTACTCCTTCTAACTCAACCCAGGTTGCAGTGATCAACAGTTCTCTCTTTATATCTCCAACCACAAAGGGGTAGATTGTCTCTTATCCCACATCAAGTTACAATAAAGCCAAAAATGTCGGTCAATGATATGGCAAAAGAGACATTACAGGAAAGTGTGTGTGAAGGGGCGGACTGGTCATAGGGCAGTTCGGGCAAATGGCAGATAGCCTGGTCCATTTTTAGCCCAGTCGGCCTGTCTAACTTGAGGGTTTTGCGCAAAATTGTCATTATTTGGCTAATACCCTGCTGAAAGAAAATGCATAGACCAACAGAAATTTCAAACTGGTCTATGCTGGTCTGATGCTGGTCAAGCTGGTCTGACCAGCATGGTCTAGCTGCAGGGCCATGCACAGACCTTTGGTGACCAGCATAACCAGCATACTGCTCTATTCTGGTTTTTCAGCGTGGTAATGGGGGCCTCAAGGGAAAAAATGGGCCAGTGTGTTAGAAATGCCCGGGACAATTTCTGTGTGTGTGTGTGTGTGTGTGTGTGTGTGTGTAAGAGAGAGATAATGATAACTGAAGCGGTATGATCAAACTACATCTGTGAGGGGAGAAGCCAGTTTGAAGCCTTTTCATCTCTAATAGAGGCTTGTTTTTATTAAGCCAAGCGCATCATGCACCTCCCATTCAAGAGAGTGTGTGTGTGCGTGAGTGTGTGCGCGTGTGTGTGTGCATTCGTGTGTGTGCACGTGCATGTGTGCATGAGCATGAATGAGTGTGCGCTTTTCTGGAAGTAGTGTTTAGTCATAAGTACAGTGTGGTCATTTGTACAAGTTATTGAACTTTACTGCATACAGTGTCTGCTATGCTGAGGACAGCGTGTGTGCTTGCTTTGCTGCAGGCAGTATGTGTGTGTGCTTGTCGGTGTTTGTGTATAGGTAGTGTGTGTGAAATACCGTGACTGGTTGGGAGTCTGCCTGCTCTCTGTCCATCTGTCTACATTAGAGTTCCGCCTTGACCCTTGTTATTATTAGCCACTCAGAGCTTGTTGGACAGACTGGCAGCTCGTTGCGAACGCTGCTAAAATGGGAACAGTAGTTTACACACCCTCTCACCCACCACCACCACATAGCCTCCCCATCCCCAACGCACACACTCACACCCCGCACACACCCTGCACACACCTGCACACACACACCACTCACACACGCACTCTAAACTCCCAGAAAAGCTCTGTGAACCACAGCCAGCGAGGGAGCCGCCCGTCTGACGCCAACTCCAGAGGACAGCCAGAGGTCAGCATGTGTGTGTGTGTGTGTGTGTGTGTGTGTGTACATTTGCGTGTGTGTGACTCTTTCTCTCTCTGTGTGCCAGAGAGTGAGCGAGCTACCAAGGTAGGCTTCATCGTGCCCATAATGCCCATCATCATGTGTGGGACTTTGGTTTGGGACAGTGTGAAAGCTGTTACAGGTTATGTATGGGTGGTAGGAGAAGGGGAGGCAAAACTGAGCTGTTCTCTGTTGAGTGTCATAGCATCATTTCAAAAGAAGCAGTTAGAGTTTGGCTGAGCAATCCCACAGCTGGAGTCAGAACACAGGGGCCTGCAGGCCTATGTGTAGAGAGTGCTGCGTTGGCTATCGGCTGCCCCTCTGTTGTACATTAGTACGTTAGCATGTTATCGGGCCATGGCTTGGAAGGGTCTGAGTATCACCCAACTGATAACTGGCAGAAGCAGCCAACATGTAACCCTGAATGTTGAAGTTTTACAGTGTAACTTTTTATTGAAGCTATACACCTTGTTCACCTAGAAATACAAGTGAAAAATTAAAAAAGGTGCTTGTCCTCTTTGGTCAAGTTCTGTACTCCACTGGCATTTACCGTCAATAACACCAAAATAACACCTATAAACTGTTTTCAGACACACAATAATGAAGTCATTGGTTATACGTGTCATAGCAATTTATTTGAAGAATAAGTTCTCTACAGGCATAATTATTAATGTACATTTCTACATTACATTTTTGTGGAAAGATTTGCATAACATATATATGAAAAGTTGTTTTAATCTCACTAAACAAAAAGATGCTGCATGGTATATGACTTGAATGCTGGATAATACAAAATTAAGCAGGGGTGAGGAGCCCATGAGCCTTTAGGGTCACAGATTGTGCTGGTTAATGGTGTAATTCAATTTCAACACATACTTGAATCATAAATGCAACCTTGTCCTGGACCTGCGGTTTTCGACCCTCTCTATCCCTCTCCCTCTCCCTCTCCCTCTCCCTCTCTCTCTCTCTCTCTCTCTCTCTCTCTCTCTCTCTCTCTCCCTCTCTCTCTCTCCCTCTCTCTCCCTCTCCCTCTCTCTCCCTCTCTCTCTCTCTCTCACTACTGACCTCTGGATGCTCGGCTATGAAAAGCAAACTGACATTTACTCCTGAGGTGCTGACCTGTTGCACCCTCTACAACCACTGTGATTATTATATGACCCTTCAGGTCATCTATGAACGTTTAAACATCTTGAAAAACGATCTGGCCTTAATGGCCATGTACTCTTATAATCTCCACCCCTCAGAGCCTGGTTCCTCTCTAGGTTTCTTCCTAGGTTCCTGCCTTTCTAGGGAGTTTTTGCTAGCCATCGTGCTTCTACATCTGCATTGCTTGCTGTTTGGGGTTTTAGGCTGGGTTTCTGTATAAGCACTTTGTGACATCTGCTGATGTAAAAAGGGCTTTATAAATCCATTTGATTTGGATTTGATTTGATAAGGATAGAGTCATCTGACCAGTTTTCCATTTAGCACCATATTTACACCTGGAAAAACGGATTTAATGGCTCACTATCCCAACATTATCCAGTGAATCAAACATCCAGTCATCAGCTGAGTAACAATAACCTTCACACACTCTGCAGCCAGATTAGGGTTTCCCTAGCCTGGTCCCAGATCTGTTTGTGCTGTTTTGCCAAACAGATCTGGGACCAAGCTAGGGTTCTCCACCCTAGATTTGCATATACAGTACCGTGGCTCAGAGTATTGAGTAGTAGGCCTGTTTTAAATTGAAGATGTTAAGTCCCCTATATAGGGGACTTTGGACGGTCTGGGACCAGTTCCGACTGACATTTTGGTGTACAAAGCGCTCTTTGAATGTCGTAGGGTCCTGTGCCTTATATTGCCAGAAAGCTCCATCTGTCTGCTCTGCGCTACCACTCTCTCAGTGGAGCTGACTTGAAGTGTCAGGTATCAGACCCCACATTTGCATAGGCAGTGACGTGTCACATTTTCTGGCCTATCCAGACAAAGAATCGTTTTGCTCTGCTTAGGAGTGACGGAGCCCAGCCTGACAGTCTAGCGGACCCAACAATTGTGGTTTCATGTCGCTGTGATATTCTCAACCGGATTTAGAGCTCTCAATATGAAAAAATACTAAATAATTTCATAGAATTGAAACAAGACCACTTTCTCTTGATCACAGACGGACAAAATCCCTTTGTGTTTAAAGCTGAAGTTGTAACGAGTCAGCACACATTTGAATGGTGTCTCTGCTCTGCTCAGTGGACTCAGTTATATGAAATTGTGCCATTATTGTACTGTCACTAAGTATGATCATATTTATTTTACAGTTATAAGAAAGATGAAATCTTATACTAAGTCGTTTATAATTTGATTGTTACTATATTAAGAAAGCTGTTCAGTCATTTCAAGCCCTATTGCCCCACTTTTGTTGAATAGGAAAAAAAACATATATGATATTTTATATTTTCATAATATTTGTACTATGTACTTGAGCATGTGTCCTCATAAGTGAGTATATCTCAACAATTTATAACTATTTTTTACCAGAAAGGTGAGTTCCATAACTTTCTATAACTATGCAACATTACCAGTCATTATGTTTGGGTATGTCTATTTAGGCGGAAATAAAAATGTTGCCCTAGCTCCCAGGTCAGTCTTTATTAGAAGTTGCGTGGGCGGGTCTTCATCTCCACACTCTTAAAGGAGTAGCGCTCTCCGCTGTGACTGTCTGTCAGGATGTACCAGGTGCCCCAGTAAATGCCATTGGTCAGCCCGCTGTAGCGCCCGCGGTAGTAGCGTCCATTCAGGTTAGCCGCCAGGCAGGCGTCGAACCACCAGCCCGCACCATAGTACTCCGCACAGTTCCCCGACGTGTAGCGATCGTGGTCACGGTCATTGGTGCTGAACGCTCGGCCGTCATGGTTGTAGCGTTTGCTGTAGCTTAGGGCATTGCCCGCGTCACCAGAGTACTCCCGTGCTGTCAAGCGGTACCTGGGAGAAGGAGAGACAGCATTAACACCATGTACTACTATGTTAAAGAGATATGTTCAGATGTTTTCAGACCTCAAAAGAGGTCTAATGTTAAGATGAGTCCACGTCCTACTCCACCTGTTGTGTAGATCCAGCTACAAGCCTTAATCCCAAATGAATGGGAACGATAGGCACCGTCTGATTTCAGGCTGAGCCTATCTTCCCATTCAGATGCCGTGGGACCTGAACTGATCTCGACATTATATCACTTTCGTTGTTGTTTGTCAAATATTTTCAAACTTTGATTTTGAGGCAAATTATCTCTTTAATTTGTGTATATCCTTGTTTGCTCATCGGTGTATGTGTGTGTTTGTGTGTTTCCATTACCTCTGTGCCTCTGCTGCCACTCTGAAGGTGTTGTAGGTGGCTTGGCGTTTCTGCTGGTGCCAGTCCTCCAGTTGTATACGCAGCAGGTGTTGACCAGTGTTGGTTAGAGCATGCAGCGCTGCGTTCCCCAGCCAGTATTCTCCCTGTGGGGAACCAAAACCCTCGCGGTACTCCTGCCACGTCCGGTTGAAGTCCACCGAGCCATCTCGCCGATGCTGGAACACCGTCCACCCCCCGCCTGCTGTCTCCATGTCACACTCTGCCTGGGGCGGGAGGGTGCAAAGGTCACAACTCTTGGACATCAGATATCGGTCACATTTACATCAGAGAATAATGATGAAGTTTGCCTAACCATTGCCAATAGTATAGAGGATAAAGGGGGTGAGGACTGAGAGATGTAACACATTGAGAGTTTTTACTGTAATCTATAACATCAGCTCCATACTATATTTTACTCTCTTTATCTCTCTGTATGTTCCCCTCCAAGCTCTACAGATGGTGCATAACACACATACAGTATACAGGTTGTTTGCATTTAGTGTGTGTAAGTATTAGGAGGTACCTCCACTGCAGGTCTGCGTGGGTCAGGCTGGATGCTGTAGATTCCGTTCTCTTTGATCCCCAAACGATAGATCTCTGCACAGTCCTGAGGATGCAGCCTCGCTGAGGGGGCCACTGCAACACACACTCGCACTCTTACATCTGTATATTCTGTACGCACATGTACACACACACACACAGAGTACACACACAGAGTACACACACAGAGTACACACACAGAGTACACACAGAGTACACTCACACACACAGAGTACACACACAGAGTACACACAGAGTACACACAAAGAGTACACACACAGAGTACACACACATAGTACACACAGAGTACACACAGAGTACACACACAGAGCACATACAGAGTACACACACAGAGTACATACACCGCTCTCACCTGTTGGAGGGTGTTGTGTGATGCTCCTCAACAGTAGTATCAAGTCTTTCTCTCCCTCTCTCCCAACCGCTGCCCCCTCTAAACACATTGACAAAGAAGAAGTTGTGTGTGAGATTGAGGACCCATCCTTCTGATCTGCTGTAGAAGTTATATGGTGGTTGTGAGATACCGGTGAGCTATCTATCTGCCCTACTCATACCACACAGAGCCTTGCATTCCTGTGCACTCACCTCTGACCGACACAGAGCAGGCCTCACTAAGGCTCTGTTTAGTGTGTGTGTGTGTGTGTGTGTGTGTGTGTGTGTAGTGTTTGTGTGGCCCTCTTAAGAGATAGGAGAGACACCATCATTGTGTGCGGGTGTGAGTGTTTGTGTGGAGAGAGATCAAGAGAATGAACAGGAGGACACACAGAAAGCGAGAAGATCAATGTGTGTTTGTGTGTGTGTGTGTGTGTGTGTGTGTGTGTGTGTGTGTGTGTGTATGTGTGTGTGTGTGTGTTAGTAATGTGAAGTTTGGCTCTTTTTACTGACTGATCTTTTCGACTCATTTCATTCATTTGAGTCAGTAATGCTCAGAGCACGCAGGACCCCCCACCGGCGAACGATGAACTGAGAATTCAAAAGTCATGAGTCTGCAAGCCTCTCGTTCAAATGTCGTTCACCATAGGGGGCTATTGGAGCCGCCGTTTGTGACTGAGACTTTTAAACATGTGCTTTAAACAATGTACATTTGTTGATTGCTAGGCATACAAATAAGATTATTTGTTGACACATTTGAAACTAGTTTCTAGTAGTGTCCGCAACCGGACTAGATTGTAAACGATGACAATTACAGTTTGTAAATGACTGCCGAGAGGGTGATAAACACAATGTCGTTAGAACTGCAACACCCCAAACATGTATTTTTTTTCTCTATGCTCAGGATCTAGTTGTAGGTCGGACCATGTGGCTGGAGCCACCATAGAGAATGATAGAGGCCTCTAGTGGCCAAAAGGCTGTTTTAGCATGTTCAGCGCCATTGAGGGCTTCCGCCAGGCTTCCACCATTTTAAAGTAGTCAAAGTAGTCAACTGGGTGGGGATTCCTATGGGTTGTGGCCTCAATGGCACTGCCCATGTTGTTACAGACGCTATAATGGCTCAGATATAAAGATGAGTCCTCTATCTATCTCAATGGGAGCCGCTGAGCCGGAGGAGCGTGTATTAATCCTGCTGTAGTAGGACTCATTGCGGCCAGCAGGTCAAATGAACGACTAAAATGAATGAGTCTCTCAGAAAAACAAATCATGACTCTCGAGTCAGTAAAAAGAGTTGTTCAAAAAGAGTGAATCGTTCATGTGTGTGTTTTCCATGCTCCTCACCCAGTCGCCTGGCCATAGCCCTGAGGGCCTGGCTGTGACAGTGTAGGTCACACTCTGTCAGCACTGCAGCCATCAGAGCCAGAATGGCCCCCAGCGTGTCCCCTCCCTGGCCTCCTTGGCCCCTGGGGACCCCTGGCTCCTGGAGGGAACGCATACAGCGCTGCAACTGGACCAGACGCTCTGACACATCCCCGGCCTGCAGAAACAACACTTTAGCATTACAGTCATGACATATGCATGTTATACACATCAGGATTGACAGTCACATACACAATAGTCACACCGCTCTCTCTCTCTCTCTCTCTCTCTCTCTCTCTCTCTCTCCTCTCTCTCTCTCCTCATCTCCTCTCTCTTCTCTCTCTCTCTCTCTCTCTCTCTCTCACACACACACACACACACACACACACACACACACACACACACACACAAGCACGCACCAGCATTTACAGTCACATCACACACACACAAACCGACACTAAGGCATGCAAAGTAGATCACTGACACAGACTCAATCACTCAGTCACATTTACTTCCCTCCTAGCCATGTTAGTGGAACACCTGTCATTGCATGAGCTCAGCAGAGCCACATGATGAGGACATTTATAAACCTGGGCCTAATTTGACTCCCTCTTTGATTGTTATCCCTGGAAAGCGTCTGTCATGTGGTACCCCTAATCCCGAGAGTAGGGACCTGTTGCCCCCTCTCCACATACTATACCACAGAGTAGGGACCTGTTGCCCCCTCTCCACATACCATAACACTATTGCTAAAGGCACCAGACACTATCTATACCACTATGCTACAGAGTTGGGCTTGATTCCATTTCAACTGGCTGAGTGATGTTATGTCCATAGTTAACTTTTTCAGCAGCTTAAACTTTACCCAACGCCACACAAACCAGAGGCACATGGCGTGTCAGACTCAGAGACTCTACCCCAGCAGTATCTAATCACCCCTACAGAACAAACATTGTCCAGGCCTTCCTCTGTGCCACCCAGCTCAGAATAATCATTGTTTGGCGTGTACAATACCTGAGTCAGTTATATCAACACCTCACTCATTCTACTGGGAAAAGCACAGGAAATGACTTCAGATTGACCTGGTGCGTGATGTCACTCACCTCTGGCTGAACCTGTCCGACTTCATGTCTGTGTTCCACCCGCAGAGGGGGGTCGGAGGCAGCCAGGGGGGCGACCGCCACCCTGCAGCCTGCCGTCCCGGGGCGTCCCTCACACCCCCCTGACCCTGTCCTCGCAGGCGGAGCGGCCACCAGACTGTCCTTGCAGTGGGGACAGGCGGGGGGTGCGTCCGGGGGGGACAACATGGCCCCCACACACAGGGACAGCAGTGGGAGCATGCCGAGAGAGCCCAGTGGAATCATGGGAAAACTCCTAAAAGAATTTGAAAAGCTGGCAGAATTCAGGGCAGAATCCAGGCTCTCAGACACCCCACCTCTGTGTTTTTCCGTTTACTGTCCCCCCTGACACCGGTTTTCACCTTAAAGCTGTTCTGCCTTGCCAGCCTCTTGGACTTGGGTGCCGACACGTCTTTAGTGACACTTGTGCTCTTCTTTTGTGTATTTTTTGTTGTCCTTGATGGGTTTCTGCTCCACTCCTGAGTCCGTCTGCTTGATGCTTTGTTTGAAGCCTTGGATGGTGTCCCTCCACTCTTTGCCCATAACCTTCTTCTATTTCTGTGTTAACTTCTTCAACTTCTTCTTCTCTATCTGTGTTAACTTCTTCAAACTTCTTCTTCTCTATCTGTGTTAACTTCTTCAACTTCTTCTTCTCTATCTGTGTTTCTATCTGTATACCTCTTTCATCCTCTCCACTTCTCTCTTTCCTATTTCTCTCTCCCTCTGATTCTCTTGCACTCTCTCACTCTCTCTCTCTTTCTCTCTCTCTGTCTCTGTCTCTGTTAGTGAGGTTCCTTTGACTCAGATTCCTAGATAACTGCGGCTCTCTTTGCTGTCTGACACGCACAAATGCACCCACCCTCGATTCACACACACACACGCATAGCTGCACGCACGGACACACGCCTGCACACAATCTATCCATCTCTTTGACCCATACCCCCCCCCCCCCCCCTCTCTCTCTCTCTCTCTCTCTCTCTCTCTCTCTCTCTCTCTCTCTCTCTCTCTCTCTCTCTCTCTCTCTCTCTCTCTCTCTCTCTCTCTCACACACACACATAGTTTATGGACACATAAACCAGAGCAGTGTTGGATGAGCTTGTTCTAGAGTTCAATCCCTTTCCCTTTCTTTACTCTCCTCTCCATTTATCTCTATCTTGCACAAATGCTCATGCTCAAGTCACATGTTCCTCCCCCTCCCCCTCCTTTTCTCACTTTCTCCTTCTCTCTCTCTCTCTCTGTCTCTCTTTCTCTCACTATATTCCTATTTTTTACTTTCCCTCTGACAATCAGTGCCCACCTCCAACTCTCTCCTGTCAGTGTGTGTCTGTGTGACAAAATGTGTATATTTGTGACCCTTTTTCCTCCAAGAGGACAAATATTTTTTAACACTACCCTCTCTTGTATACCCCCACCTTTCTCACCCCATCCCTTTAGTTTATTGCCGTATGTGTTTATCAACTGCGTTCCTACCAGGTCATAAAGACTAGACACTCAAAAGGGGAGAGCAGTCAGGAATTCCTCCATAAACACCAGGGTCATCTATACTCATTAGGATGTGCCAAACAGACACACTCTAACAGAATACACACAGTCTGCCCACAGCCAAGGGGCAAAGACAACTGACCCCCATTCCCCTCTCACTGTAAGACAGTTGGCATACTTCAGCCACGTCCTTCCAGTACGTGTTGTCAGTCAGTAATGGAGAACAGTCCATCAGTCCTGTCCCAGCATCCCTTCTTTGAATGCATAGACAAGAATGGAGGACTGGATGGCTTCAGGCAGCCCTGGATCTCAGTTAATATCAGGGTGAGATCGGACACAACAGCACTTTGATATAATAATAATATAATATGCCGTTTAGCAGACGCTTTTATCCAAAGCGACTTACAGTCATGCGTGCATACATTTTTGTGTATGGGTGGTCCCAGGGATCGAACCCACTACCTTTGCGTTACAATCACCGTGCTCTACCAGCTGAGCTACAGAGGACCACAATTGATGATGAAGTGTAGAGCAGCTGCATTCTAGATTTTTTTTTAAACAGACACAGAACAGTGAGTTAGAATCTGAGAGTTCTATCGTGGAGCTTGAATTGAATGAAAATAATATATTTTACTAATGAGATTCACTCGGGCTCCCGAGTGGCGCAGCGATCTAAGGCACTGCATCTCAGTGCTTGAGGCGTCACTACAGACCACCTGGTTCGATTCCAGGCTGTATCACAACCGGCCGTGATTGGGAGTCCCATAGGGCGGCGCACAATTGGCCCAGCGTCGTCCGGGTTTGGCCGGTGTAGGCCGTCATTGTAAATCATAATTTGTTCTTAATTTACTTGCCTAGTTAAATAAAGGTAAAATAAATAAGAATTAACAGGCAGTAGAGACAACAGAGAATATATAGCTCCTCAACATCTGTGGTGATGATGATAACTGATGTTCAGGCAAGATAGTAATGATGAGTAGATCAGTTGTCTCAATAGTCCTACAAGAAAATCCGTAAAGGAGATAATTTTTGGCCTGCACAATAACGCCATCTCATCATGACCAGTTCGCAAGTAATCAGAGCCTGTCAGAAATGAATGAAGACTGCCCTCTAGTGGTTTACTTTCCGTAATAGCTGTAGTAAAAAAATTAATGGAATAATCACCAATTGCGCGCCTAACTGCATTTTTCTAAAATAAAATGTATCTTCCCTAAACATATTTTTGGCTGTTATCTGCTTATCTCCTACTGCTCATGGTGCTCTTTAGCCTGGCATGTTATATCAGAGCAAATGTGGTGTTGTAATTTGGAGAACTTCCAAAAATAGATTAATTTACATCTGGACAGTCATGGAGTAAACATTGCTTCTTTCTATGTCCATCTTTGGTACAGTCAAAGCCAAGGTATTTGCAACCTTACTTACCCACGGGGGGCCAGTATGAAAAATTAATAAATAATGTATGCACTCACTAACTGTAAGTCGCTCTGGATAACAGTAAACGTATCTCTAATGCAGTTATTCAAGTGGGCGTGGTGTATCCTGTTTGTGCGTGAAAACGTTATAGAGCAATGACGCAAGAGTTGTTTTGGAGGAAGTGAAAGAGGGGAGAAAGAAATCAGTCGCTAAAAGAACCCAGAGCAAAAGACACAAGCCAACAAAATCGGAACTAAAACATTACTGTGGAGAGAGTCTAAAATACTATTCGGGGAAGCTGCAATCAGAGATTTAAGCATCACAAGCTACGGCCACCAACTCTAAACATTAACATTTTATCTGGCTCGCTTGCTAGTTATTTTGCCAGAGACAGTTATTCAAATCCAGCAAGAATAGGCTGTCCTGAGACAGCAAGTCGGAAAACAGCGTTCTGGTGTGTTGGAAGTTGAAGGTAAGTTATATGATGTAATCTTACCTAGCTATGACAGCAACGTGTGACGGTCGTTATTTCTTACGAAGCTTTTGTTTACCGAAGCGACAGGGGGAATGTGAGAAATGTGTGACCGTCAGTGGGGCGGCTTCTATTGCTGACGAATTTAGCAATAGGTCGGGGACGGTCACGGTGTATAAATCTAACCGTGGGCGTCGTGTCCAACAACCGAGTCGCAAATGTATGATGTTCAGGACCTTCCAAATAACTAATCGACGATGTTTTAAGAGAAAGAACGCGATAGAGGGGATGGGTCAAAGAGATGGATAGACTGTGCGAGCGTGTGTCAGTCCTTGCATGTGTGTGAATCAGGTGGTTGGTGCATTAGTGCATGTCAGACAGCAAAAAGAGCCACACTTATCTAGGATTCTGAGTCAAAGGAACCTCACTAACGGAATGTGTTGTGTGTAACATTGTTTGTTAGATATGTTACACGTGGTATATCGTATGCCAACGAGTCGATTTTAAAACAAATGTCTTTTAGGCATCAGCCTGAGCTTGGGGAAATCTTTCTCCCATGTGATCGACTTCTAGACTATAGTGTCATGGGTTGCAGATTAGAAGGCGAGGACTGGGGTTGTTACAGAAACAAAGCCCTGCAGTAGGATTTCTATAAATCCCTATTATACTAGTATATATTATGACAACTATTCATCAGTATTTAGGTTATTTTCAGTTGGAGTGTTGGATCTAAAATAGTTTCATTACAATCGATGCATATATGGCTGCGTGTAAACAGGCAGCCCAATTCTGATCTTTTTTCACTAATTGGTCTTTTGACCAATCAGATAATCTCTGAAAAATATCTGATGTGATTAGTCAAAAGACCAATTAGTGGGAAAAAGATCAGAATTGGGCAGCCTGACTGAACACAGCCATACTACAGATAGAACAAGCAGCCAGCTGTTTGATGTATAAATCTGAAGCATCCAGTTAGAATTTCCAATCCTTACCATGGTGAGGAGAGGAAGCCCAGTGGCTGGCAGTGGGAGAGTATTGAGTGAGATGGAACTTGGCCGACATTCTGGGGTAGGGACCTCCCAAGACGTATCTGCTAGCAGGTACTCATAGACTTCCAGTCATTGCGCTAACGCTAGTCAGCGTTGGCTTGTGAAACTACATCTAACTTCCTTCATACTAGACACAGAGACATAAAAATGGGATCCAGGAGTTCATCTGACTCCGGGGAAGTAGATAAAAGGCAAACATCCCGAAGTATCCCTTTAACGTTACCACAGAGTTGAACATTCTTAGCACAGCATTTGCTTTATATTTGGGCAGAGCATCCATTGTTTGTCACGACACCCAACACCTTACCATGACACTTAACATAACAGTATAAGGCCAGTGTACATTTTTGCCACTTTATTGAGCTGTCAAGCTTCTATTTACTCAGCACTCACCGTAGAAGCAGTAACAGTTAGTTCGCTCTCCTCTCTGACTGGTGTAATTGCTTTGGGTGATGGTGTCCAGTCTTGCTGTAGCGTGCCAAGGAAAGATAGGCTTATAGCCATGTAAAAAGAGCTCTCTTCAGGACAAATAATGAAATGCAAATAAAAGTCTAATTCTATGAAGAACTGCATTTTCCCCAAGCTTTTCCTCTTCATCTTATAACGGTCCTTTTCGGTGGATTAAACTTAGATGCAAATACATCCGTAAAAGGCTAATATCAGCCGATAATATCGGTCAGGCTCTATTAATCTGACTGTTGGCCTGGCTGCTACATTGTTGTTTCCCATGATAAATACGCTGGATTTGAATGGGTCACTCATGTCGTCAATGTTTCAGTATAGCATTGGGGAGCTTTTCTATTATGATAGGACTATGCTGGGCTGACATG